TAACAGTTCTAAACACTTTTAAGTCTTAGTTCTTTGAATTCAATCTTGTCAAGGCATTTTAAGAGGATAAAGTAACTTATTTACGGTTTTAGCTGTTTAGCCTCCACAAAATATCGCAATAAATATCGTACCGTGAGATGCATATCGTGAAAATATCGTACTGAGAGATTTAGATATTGTTACATCCCTAATCGTGAGTCTCTCCACCATATCGAGAGCTTTCCCACGATATCGCAATAAATATTGTACCGTGAGATTCATACTGTGACGATATCGTAGTGTGAGACTTGGATATCGTTACATCCCTATTCTAAAGTTGTACACTGGTGGTGAGCTGCCCTGGGGCTGACTGACAGAAACGAGGCTGCCAATCTACGTCACCTGCCCCTTTGACCAACAAACAAGAACACACATTCACACCCACCACATTCATATTGGGCAGTGTAGGTGTCTTGCCTAAGATGGTCACTGATATTCACAGATGCTTCCCATCCAAGTAATCATTTCTGAGATCATTTTTAACACTATCTGCTCTACAAACCTGTTCAAATGCAGCTGGTTATTTAGTTTTTCTATTAGTTTCTCTCAGCTTTTCTCAAATGTGAATGTTCCGGTGTGTGTTTTAAACGTGTGAGTATAATTTTGATTTTAAAATTCACTGCAAATGTAACCACGGTCACAATAATTGCCTGGAAAAAAACATTACATTCAACATTTTCCAGATTTGTTGAGTCATAATACAAAGACTGATGGTTTGAATAGAAATGTGACTAAAGTACAGAATCCGTGTATCTTTCGTTCATTCGTTTTTCAATATAAAATGAAAAATAAGAAAACAAAAAAACTACTATTTTCTTCATTATTTGTCTCCAAAACCAAAATGAAAGAAACAGATAACGATTCTTTTTTCAGTTTTCCATTTTGTGTTTAAATAATTTTGTGTTTGAATAATGGAAAAAACGTATAACAGTCGTTTCCTGTTTACGTGACGTCTGTGACTGCGATGCCAGGACTGAACCAGGACTAAACCAAGACCAAACCAGGTCTGAGACCAGACCAGGACTGAGACCAGGACTTAGACTGGGATCAGAGCAGAATTGAGACCAGGACTGAGACCGGGAACAGGACCAGAACTGAGACCGGGACCAGACCGTGATTGAAACCGGGACCAAACAGGGACCAGACCAGGACTGAGACTGGGACAAGACCAGGACTGAAAATGGTTTAGTCCTGTTTTAGTCCTGATTCAGTCTTGATTTAGTCCTGGTTCAGTCCTGGTTCAGTCCTGATTCAGTCTTGATTCAGTCCTGGTTTAGTCCTGGATTTGTCCTGGTTTAGTCTTGGTTTAGTCCTGATTCAGTCTTGGTTTAGTCCTGGTTTAGTCCTGATTCAGTCTTGGTTTAGTCCTGGTTTAGTCCTGGTCTAGTCCTGATTCAGTCTTGGTTTAGTCCCGGTTTAGTCCTGGTTTAGTCCTGATTCAGTCTTGGTTTAGTCCTGGTTTAGTCCTGTTTTAGTCCTGATTCAGTCTTGGTTTAGTCCTGGTTTAGTCCTGGTCTCAGTTCTGGTTTAGTCCTGATTCAGTCTTGGTTTAGTCCTGGTTCAGTCTTGGTTTAGTCCTGGTTTAGTCCTGATTTAGTCTTGTTTAGTCCTGGTTCAGTCCTTATTCAGTCCTGGTTTAGTCCTGGTTTAGTCTTGGTTTAGTCCTGGTTTAGTCCTGATTTAGTCTTGGTTTAGTCCTGATTCAGTCCTTATTTAGTCCAGGTTTAGTCCTGGTTTAGTCTTGGTTTAGTCCTGGTTTAGTCCTGATTTAGTCTTGGTTTAGTCCTGATTCAGTCCTTATTCAGTCCTTATTCAGTCCTGGTTTAGTCCTGGTTTAGTCTTGGTTTAGTAGTTGGTTTAGTCCTTGGTTTAGTCCTGGTTTAGTCTTGGTTTAGTCCTGGTTTAGTCCTGGTTTAGTCCTGGTTCAGTCCTGGTTTAGTCCTGGTTTAGTCCTGGTTTAGTCCTGGTTTATTCCTGGTTCAGTCCTGGTTTAGTCCTGGTTTAGTTCTGGTTTAGTCCTGGTTTATTCCTGGTTTAGTCCTGGTTTAGTCCTGGTTTAGTCCTGGTTTAGTCCTGGTTTAGTCCTTGGTTTAGTCCTGGTTTAGTCCTGGTTTTCCTGGTTCAGTCCTGGTTTAGTCCTGGTTTAGTTCTGGTTTAGTCCTGGTTTATTCCTGGTTTTCCTGGTTTAGTCCTGGTTTAGTCCTGGTTTAGTCCTGGTTTAGTTAGTCCTGGTTTAGTCCTGGTTCAGTCCTGGTTTAGTCTCCTGGTTTAGTCCTGGTTTCAGTCCTGTTTAGTCCTGGTTTAGTCCTGGTTTCAGTCCTGGTTTAGTCCTGGTTCAGTCCTGGTTTAGTCCTGGTTTAGTCCTGGTTTCAGTCCTGGTTTAGTCCTGGTTTAGTCCTGGTTTAGTCCTGGTTTAGTCTTGGTTTAGTCCTGGTTTAGTCCTGGTTTAGTCCTGGTTCAGCCATCACAGTTTAAGTCACGTAAATGGGAAACGGCTGTTATCATTTAAACACAAAATCGAAGTCTCCAATTTGGTTTTGGAGACAAATAATGAAGAAAATAGTTGTTCTTTTTGGTTTTCTATTTTTTGGTTTTACATTGAAAAACAAATGAACAAATGGTACATGGATCGTACACCCACACTGCCACATTGTCTTCTCCAGTGCAGCGGGTCAGTGAGGTTTGGGCTAAAAGGCATTACTCAGTACTACATGCTTTGGTGAACTCTATGGTCCCCAGAGAATCATTTCCCGCTCCCCTTCAGGTTACAACACAATCTGCTATAAACCACCTGCAGAAATAAAGGTCCAGACACTTTTATGCAATATGCACAAATTGCTTATTGGTCTATTGATCTGTGAAGCCTGCGGGGCCCTCTCTGGCCGAGCACAGACACTGCAGCATCCCTCAATAATGCACAGTATTAGACAGGATACAGTGGAGATTACCGTAATGTACTGTCCACGAGGCACTGGATTTTGACTTCTGCATTCATTTGTCAACCTGTGAACTTGCGGCTGGAGGTGAGGAGCTTTGATGAATTATAAATAGAAAATAAATACCAAAAAGACATAGAAATAAGTTTAAAAAGTGTCTCTGACGTTGCAAATAAATACTACTGTTGGAATTAAAGGAGCTGACTCATTCACTCGCGTCACATCACTAAGGCTACGTTCAGACTGCAGGGCTTAATGCTCAATTCAGATTTTTTTGTGAAATTCGATGTTTTTGCGAGGTCGTTCACATTTCCAATTTAATGTGACTTGTATGTGACCCCCAGTGTGAACAGTAAACAGCCCGAAAGTGTCCTGCATGCACAATGGAGGACACGATGACGTCAACCGCAGCGAGCGTGCTCTGTGTTTACGGACGTTGTCCAAACATGGATGCGAGCAATGAACACCTGTTCTTCTCGTACCGGAGCCAGAACATGTATAACTTACTTGTTTTAAGGAGGAGATTGAGAAGGAGAAGGACGAGGTTTTTGGCCGTGGTGTTTTGTGGGGCAGCGGCAGCGACGTCCGTTGAAAGGAACGTGTGGATGTGGAGACGTAGCCAAGAGTGGTGAGTGGTGATGTGCTTCGCTTCAGTGACACGGAGTTCATTAACCATTTTCGCCTACTTCAGAGCAGAATAGTGACGTTTGTGGCTTGTTGATGTGTTAATGTGTAAGTCGGACGAATGCGCTTTGGCCGTTCAGACCGAAGTCGCATGTCAAAAGATCAGATATGTATCGGTTTCAGGACCACATATCCAAGTGTCCTGGCTCGCATTTGAAAAAATCAGATCTGTGTTGTTCAGATACAGGTCACATAGGGGCCAAAAAATCGGATTTGGGTCACTTCAGGCTGCAGTCTGAACGCAGCCTAAGTCCCCGTCCACACTAGTCGTATTTGAGTCGTTTTCTTTGTGGATGCAGTGTTCGTCCACACTAATCTGACTGAAAATGGCTCCAGAGACGGAACGATCTGGTGCCGCCGGCTCCCACGAATTCATTTGAGTACAGATCTACGGAAGCCGAGAGCGGTCGCAACAAACGCAAACGCCGCAACAAATACAAATGCCACAACACAACAAAAAGCCACAACAAACCAAAAAAAGACACAATGGAAATGACCGCGGGACTCTATTTTAATTCAAACACCGCAACAAATACAAATACCACAACACAAACGCAAATGCCGCAACACATTAAACAGCCGTGACACATTAAACAGCCACAACACATCAAAAAGCCACAACAAACCAAAAAAAGCCACAACAGAAATGACCGTGGGACTCTATTTTAATGCAAATGTTGCAACAAATACAAACGCCACAACACAAACGTAAATGCTGCAACACATTAAAAAGCCACAACACATTAAAAAGCCACAACTGAAGTGACCGTGGGACTCTATTTTCCGACGGACCGATCAAGCGGCAAGTGAAGAAGAAGAACTACAACGTGAAACGAATAATGAAAAAAACAATAAATTACTTTTACTTATGTTTCCAACTTCTCCGTTCCTTTACTTTTCACGTTGTAGTTCTTTTTCGCCGAATAAAGAGACATGACTGTGAACTACTTTAACTCTTCTGGACTCTCTTTTAAGACTCTTCTCAGTCCGCCTCCAGGAGAAGCTGACAGCTCAAAATCAGCTGCTGCGACTTCAGTCTTTCTTGTTTTTACTCACGTGATGTCGGGAAGTCGTGATCACGTGACTATGGTTTCTGGCGGTTTTGCGTTACTGTTTGGACAGGGAAGACTTTGATTGCGGACACAGAAACGACGTGTCTAGGTCGAGATCGTTTTGGATACGGCGATACGTGGATTAGTTTCAGTGTAAACGGGGTCTAACTGAAACAAAATTAATAAACTATTTTCCAAACTTTTATTTAAATAATGCGTACGTGTCGATGTGTGCTGCTATGAAATAAAAATACAAATGAACTGTACAATGACACCTTTTCCCAAATATGAAACAAGTTTATTTAATTCATATTTTACATAAACTTAAACCAGTAGAGATACAAAATCTAACATGGTTTTGAAATACATACATAAAAAAATAAAACAACTACAGCACAATAACAGTAAAACGTTTGCTGTACTGAACTGTACACAGAGGTTTGAATTATGGTTAATAAAGTGTCTCGTCTTGAAGCTCTCGTGTAAAACAAAAAACCCCTGAACACTGACCTGATCTTAAATTGTCCGTGAAGGTTGAAGTTGTCAGTGAGTTTGCACACAAGCAGAATTCTAAAACTGCTTTTGACTGAAATGTCTGATTTTAAAGTGAATATGAACAATATTTACATAAAAAATACAGTCAGAACAAAAAGGTTACACATACATCAAATAAAAATAGTAGAAAGTTGGAAATTATGTTACACAAACAGAATTATAATTACATTGTTTTTTACAACTGTATTCACATTTGCATAAAATCTAAAACCAGGACTAAACCAGGACTAAACCAGGACTAGAACAGGATCTAAGCAAGTCTACATGAGGACTAATACAGGATCAAACCAGAACGAAACCAGGACTAAACCAGGAACCAAGTTTACATCTGGACTAAACCAGGACTAAACCAGAACTCAACCAGGATTCTACTAGAACTAAACCAGGGGTAAACTCGGACTAAACCAGGATTATACCTGGACTAAACCTGAACTAAAACAGAAACCAAGTCTACATCAGGACATCAGGACCAAACCAGGACTAAACCAGAACTAAACCAGGATTCTACTAGAACTAAACCTGGATTAAACCTGGACTAAACCCAGGGTAAACCTAGACTAAACCAGGACCAAAGCGGGACTCAGCCTGTACTAAACCTGAACTGGACTAGTCCAGGATTAAACCGGGACTAAACCAGGAACCAAGTCTACATCAGGACTAAACCAGAAATAAACTGGGAGTAAACCCCGACTAAACCCAGACTAAACCCAGACTAAACCTAGAATAAACCAGGACCAAACCTGGACTAAACCTGAACTAAACCAAGACTAAACCCAGAATATACCAGGACAAAACCAGGACCAAACCAGGACTAAACCCAGACTAAAACTGAACTAAACCTGAACTAAACCCAGACTAGAACCAAAATAAACCAGGAACCAAGTTTACATCAGGACAAAACCAGGATTCTATCAGGATTAAACCAGGACCAAACCAGGACAAAACCCAGACTAAACCCAGACTAAACCCAGACTAAACCAGGACTAAACCAGGACTAAACCAGGACTAACCAGGCCCAGTATGAGAGTAGGGAGTATGGTCTGTTTCTAATCTTCCTTCTTGTTAGACTCGTGAAAGGGTCCAAACATCATTTAACACATAATTTAGCCTGAAATGGACTGGCTCTGATGTCCTCTTTACGGCGCGGCTCAGGTCACGATCTGTAAAATCCTTTTGGTTTGGGGCTGAAAGAACAAATCAAAAGACACCACTTTAGATAAATGCAGAGAAAATACAGCCAAAATGAGCGCAATGGGCAGAATCATATAAATTGTGTTGATAGTATCTTTGTAAAGCTGCTCGTCGCCTGTAGCCTCGTGCAGCTTTATACTCAAATGGCCTTTGTCCAGAGACTCAAAGAAACTGTTTTATGAAGAAAGAGTTGGGACGTACTTTTTGCAGTGGCAGAATCCTTTGTATCGTCTTGTTCTCCGCTGTAACAAACACAAAAAAATTATTATTAATGAGTTATGCAGATTCAAAGGGCCCATGTTACACTATTTTCTGCAACGAGCCGTACATTCTGTGTTGGCAAAGATTCCCGAGATCGAGGATTTAAAGCCGGAACAAAGAGAATGTTTGGTGAATTTTATCAAGACGTTATTGCTAGTGATGGTCAAATGAGACGGAGCTCCGGAGCACGTTTCGTTCTTTTTGAAACAAATTGCTCCGAAGCGCTGCCTCGGAGCTCGTCTCGCCGCAGCCGCTCACGTGACCAAAGTGTCGAAATGTGGAAGTGCCCCTGCTGCTTCACTCTGCGTGTCAGTCGCTTCAGTGTATCGAAGCGTTTCATTGGCTCGGCGAATGTTCCGCTCTGCGATTGGTTCAGAGCTTCAGAGTGTTCAGCGCACTTCCGTGGTTTGACAAGCGCTAAACTGCTACAGTATAAAAGATGCACCAATATTTCTTAAAAATGTTGGGTAGTGAGGAGTATTGTGTGACGTTAGTGCTGATTTTGGTGAGTTTTGGCGACTTTTGGCATTTGTTTCATTTTCGATGGCATCTACAAGTGGAAAAAAGCGATCCATGGTTTGGGATCACTTTGATCTAATTCCACCTAACAAGGTCACCGATTTTCTTATTTACAGCTGCTATTTATGTTGCTCTTTACATATTATTTTAAATCATCATTACCTCCGCCAAGGAGGTTATGTTTTTGCCGGCGTTTGTCTGTTGTTTGTTTGTTTGTTTGTTTGTCTGTTAGCAACATAACTCAAAACGTTATGGACCGATTTTGATGAAATTTTCAGGATTTGTTGGAAATGTGAAAAAGGAAGAACTGATTTCATTTTGGGGGTGATCCGGAAGAAATCCTGGATTCTGGATCACTTTGAAATTTTAGTTAACATTGTGGTAAATGGGGCCAAAAAATTTTGTTTCTCAATATCTCGGTTAATTATTGACCAAACCCCATGAAATTTGACTCAGGGATGGACAATGGGATCCTCTTTCATATTCCAAAGGCTGATCCGGATCTGATCCAGAAGACTGATTTTATCGCAATTTATATAAAAAATGGGGGTAGTCCTTGGCGGAGGTCTGCGCTCTCTGACTGCTTTTCTAGTTATTATTGTTGTTGTTGGGTACGGTGTCTCTCTGCACACAAGTATTGTCTTACACTAACGATACTTCATCGATGCTGAGACACCTGTGTGCCAATGGTTAAATTTGTCCACTAGAGGTCAGTGTTTCTCCGAGGCCTCAGACACGTCGAACTGTTTGAATATTGCGACTTAAGGTGTCAATGCTTCACGAGGCTCCATTCGCCCATCACTAGTTATTGCCCTTCTTCCTACGGGATTTGGCGCAATACATACGTCACGACCAAATAGCAGCGATTGGTTAAATAAAACCGTCAAGCGAACAAATCCTAATCCTGCGAGGTCAGACGGTTTCTACAAAGTGAAACCGGCTGATGAATCAGGCTAAAAATATTATTTCCTCTTCACAAACAGAACTGGAGTTGTGTTTTGTTTCATTCACACATGTTTAACCAGTCGTACGTACGCATTTACGTCACATACATAGAGTACACAGAAACAAACATGTCGGATGGCGTGCACACCCAGTCGAATTCCACACACTTTTGCGTCACCGTATGCACACAGATTTCCTCCCGACAACGCTCGTCTAAACGTGGAATAAAAAGTGAAGATGCGACGGCACTTTTGCGTCTTCTGTTCAGACCCTCATCATATAAACGTAGCCTGAATATTTTAATTTGACAAGTTAAGTTTCATATGTTTAGTTGGTCTATTGTCATACCGATGTTTTACAGCTGATCTACTTTTAGTCTCAATATGCAGTTTCTCTCCAATGCCGTTATCTTTATTTTTAAATATAACTGTACAATTGGAGTAAGACTTTAGTTTTTTAAGTAGCCCTATCAAACACTCTTCTCTTAGTGTGCTGGAATATCATTATAAGGCATTAACCCAGGGGTGTCAAACATACGGCCCGGGGGCTGGATTCCGGCCCTCCAAGACCTTTAATCTGGCCCTCGGCTGATTTTCTACAAAAATATTTTAATTATATTTTCTATTAAAATATTGGTACTTTTCTGCGCCGCTCAGCACAGCAGCGTCTCCAGCGCCTCAGCACAAATGAAGACTTGTCTCTTTCCAAACGCTCTTAAAGGACGATCGTTTTGACTGTTGACCGTGACACCCTCATCAGAAAAATGTCCAACATGAGAAAAGTGGAGCCAAGTGCAGGATTTTACAAGAAAAATTGACTTATTCCTATTTGCATTCAAGTTCATGTGAAAACATTGTGTTGAAATTGCATTTTTCTTAAAGTTTACAGGTTGTTCGTAATATTATATATCTTGTAAAAGAAAGAGTTCCTTAATTTAAAAAAAGATTTCTGTAATAGATTTGTGTTTTTCTGCACAAATATTTTAACTTATTGTTATTTTTGGGGTAAATATGCCACGAGTTTTCTGATCCGGCCCCTTTGGGATCAAAGTAGGTTGGATACGGCCCCCAGACCAAAATGAGTTTGACACCCCTGCATTAAACAATTGATTAAACAAAATTCTTGATATGTTGTTGTTTTTTTTTTGTTTTGTTTTGGTTTTGCCATCTAAAGAGTTTCCTATTTGCTCTGTCTGTGTTGTGCTTCTGTACCTGTCTGCGTCTGTGAATGATGACAATGAGAATGACCAGGAGAACCAAAATGGCGGCCGCAGCGCAGAGGGTCACCAACATCCACACGCTGATCTTTGACTCTGCACAAAAACACACGAGCAAAAAACAAAAACATGCCATGAAAAAACACATTTATACAGCTCATTTACAAAAGTGAAAATGAGTCTAATTCTGAATTTTTGCTCCGGGAGTTGAACACTTTTTTTTTTTTTTTTATTGACATGATTTTAGTCCTCTGATAGATAAGTTTTGGCACTGAAAGCTTTTTACTTCAAGGAACTCTTCATCCACTCACACCAGCACACACTTGATTGATAATTTGCACACTGAAGATTTTTCTTATCTGGCCAAGATTTTAAAACTTCAGGTTACCCATCTTGTTTTCAGATTTATTATCTACTTACTAATTCTGAGATGCTTAATTTGAGTCAAGAGGTAGTTTATTTTAAGATAACTTGTGAAGTGAAGTTATCTGGCTGCATGGACAGAGAATATCACTACTTTTAAATCATTTTCTGATAGATTTATACGTTTATATCTTAAATTTTGGTCAAGCTTTTTGGCAGTGCAGTGAAATCGCTTTGGGATTAATAATCAAATCAGAACTAAACTAGAACTAAACCAGGACTAAACCAGGACTAAACCAGGAACCGAGTCTACACCAGGACTAAATCAAGACGAAACCAGAACTAAAACAGGATTTTACTAGAATTAAACTTGGATTAAACCTGGACTAAACCCAGAATAAATCAGGACCAAACCAAGACCAAACCTGAACTAAACCTGGAATAAACTGAGACTAAACCAGGACCAAACCCAGACTAAACCTGGATTAAACCCAGACTAAACCAGGACTAAACCAAGACTAAACCTGGACTAAACCAGGACTAAACCCAAACTAAACCCAGACTAAACCTGGACTAAACCTGGACTAAACCCAGACTAAACCAGGACTAAACCCAGACTAAACCAGGACTAAACCAGGACCAAACCCAGACTAAACCTGGACTAAACCTGAACTAAACCCCGGATTAAACTGAAACTAAACCAGGACCAAACCCAGACTCAACCAGGAACAAAGTCTACATCAGGACTAAGTCGAGATTAAACCAGAACTAAAACAGGATTCTACTAGAACTAATCCAGGAGTAAACTCGGACTAAACCTGGACTAAACCCAGAGTAAACCTAGAATAAATCTGGACCAAACCAAGACCAGTAGGGGTGTAACGATAACAAAAATCACGGTTGGGTATGTATCTTGATTTTGAGGTCATGGTTCGGTTCATTTTCGGTACAGTACGGGACCATAATGCAAAACCCTAAAGTTTGTTTTAACATTATACAAACGGTAAAATAAAATAAATGCAAAGTGCTGCTTGGTAATACTAATGAGTTAAATAAAATAATCTGTGCTGACGAAAGGCGAAAGTGAGGACCACGGCGCGACGACTGTAGTTTTACGAGGATTCACGTGGTTCGGAGGGCTGGCAAGGCTGGGGGCAACTGTTGTTAAGGTGGCCGCCCTAACTATAAAGCGCTGCGGGAAACGCTGCCCCAATCACGGACGAGTTCATGAATATTAAAGCGCCGAGCCTTCCGTGTAGCTGCACATGTCGTGGCGGAATGTAAACGCACACAAATTGCGTGAACTCACTCGTGTACAACCCTGCACCGAACCGAACGTCCCGTAACAAAACAGTTCAGCACGAATACATGCACCGTTACACCCCTCGCTGGGAGTGCTCTATGTATCTGATGCTGGGGATGTTTAGGAGTTACCACACACACAATGCACACATTGCACAGCTTAGCTAGGGTGACCATATTTCCTTTTGTGAAAACCCGGACACCTTACCTGGGGTCGACATTGAGCTACTCTCACCTCGCAACCTGTGCACATGGCCTCCCACTTGTCTCAACCGGGACGGAAAACGGAAAATTTCTCGTGCAAGTCATCGTTAAATGCGCATTTGTGTTTCGGCGTGTTGCACACTGATCGACTGTTTGTGTCTGTTGGCTCCTTCTGAGTTACAGAGAGCCACGAGAGACGATCAATTTAATGGCCTCAAAGAAAGGTAATGAAAACTCGGACAGTTCCATCACTTAAAAAAAAAAAAAAAAAAAAAAAAAACAGACGCTCAGGACAGGACGCAAAAAACTGACATGTCCTGGGAAAAACGGACATTTGGTCACCCTACATTAGCAAACACAGTAAAAAAAAAAAAAAATACATTCAAGATCTTCTCAAGAAAAAACACAAAATGGATTAACCAACACATTTTCAGAGGCCTGTGATCAATACAAGTGTTGACGGTCCTGTTTGGTTTGATTTTTAACTATTTTCTGTGTGAGAGTTTTGTTTAACAGCACACATCAGCTGCCCTGTTGTACTTCCAGCTAAATCAATTCTTTCTGGCCAGTTTGAGTTGAAATAAAACCCAGATTAAAGTGTAACAAAGCCTCAGACGGAGCAGTGCCTACAGTTAGCGCCACACCTTCACATAATGTTGATCTAGTTTAGATTTATTTAGTTAAAATTAATTTCAGATGGATAGATAGTTTTTGCTTGAAATTACAAAAATATTGAAACTAGTAAACAGTAAAAATACCTCACACTGGAAGGGGGAAAATAGTTAAATTAAAAACGTTTTACTTTATTTGACTCGATTCAACTTGACAAGTCAAATTATCTACAAATGGAATAAGTGTTTTTGTCTTAATTCGAGCAACATTGGATTTTGTTTCTTATTTTTAGAGCAGAAAATTTGTTGTTTTTAAGTGTAGCAAGATTTTATATTTTAAGCACAAAAAGTCTAAGATAATTTTACTTGTCAAGTGAAATTGACTCAAATCATGATCAAACTTTCTTAATTCAAGTCGTTTAAACTTGAGATTTAGTTTGGGGGTTTTTTTGCTGTGTAATACAAGACAATAAACCTACAACCAGTGTTGGGAAGGTTACTTTTAAAATGTATTGCCCTACAGATTATAGATTACACACACCAAAATGTAGTTTGTAACGGAATCCATTAAGTTACTTAAAATGAGTAACGTAATCTGAATACTTTGGATTACTTGGTTTACTAGGAAATCATAACATAAGATGTTTTGTCTGCTAAAAGACAATAAAAAGCCCAGACTTTACTTAACTGTATAAAAAATATTATTGATAGAAGAGGAGGAGACACGGTCCGTGCAGCAGGGTTTAGTCCTGTTTAAGTCCTGTTAAATCCTGTTTTAGTCCTGGTTTAGACCTTTAGGTTTAGTCCTGGTTTACCTGGTTTCCTGTTAAATCCTGTTTTTAGTCCTGGTTTAGTTTAGTTTAGACCTGGTTTCAGTTTATCCTGTTTAGTCCTGGTTTAGTTTAGTTAAGTTTAGATCTAGTTTAGTTTCCTGGTTTAGTTTAGACCTGGTTTAGATCTAGTTTAGATCTAGTTTAGTTTAGACCTGGTTTTAGACCTGGTTTAGACCTGGTTTAGATCTAGTTTAGTCTTGGTTTTGTTTCTGGCAAGTGGAATTACCAAAAAAAAAAGAAAAAGAAAAAAAAAAAAGGGGGATATAGCCCAAAATGTGAAAACAGGAAAATACCGCTGTGTAATCCATTTATTTCAACAAAGTAACTGTAATCTAATTACCACTCACTGAAACAGTAACTGTAACTGAATACAGTTACTCATAATTTGTACTCTGATTATGTAACTCTGGTAAATGTAATCTGTTACTCCCCAACACTGCCTACAACTTAGTTCTCATGAGTAAAAATACATAAATATTGTAAATTACCATCATTTTTTGTACATAATTCTACATTTTTGCTGTGCCTTAAGCCCTGTTATTGTTGTAGCTGTACATTCTGTGAGCCTCCGCCGTATCTCACATATTTCCTGCCTCTTGTTTTTCATTTCCTGTTCTCACCGATTCTCAGCTCCACCACAGCCGACGTCAGCAGCTCCTCTCCTCTCCACAGCTCACACCTCCAGGTCCCGTTCTGCTCCCCGCCCGCCGACGGCACGTTTATGTGAGCGGGCGGCTGGACGGACGAGGGGAAAACGGGAAGAGAGGAGTTTTGAGGGGGCGACCACTTGACCTGGAGGTCGGGTGGCAGGGGGTGACCCGTCGTGCAGGTCAGGTTCAGCTGCTCGCCTTCAGTAAGCGTCGTCCCGGGTGAAGCGATGACTGGAAAAGAAACAGAAAATAAAAGTTTAAAGCTCCTGTATTACACAAAATGGATTCTTATGAGCTTTTAGTCATGTTATAATGTTGTTACCTCCTCAAAAACAGACCTGGAGTTGTGTTTTGTAACCCTTTATTATTATTAGTCTGTCTCCAAAACTCAAAAACCTTTTAATTTTTATTTGGTAGAGATTGACAATTCTAGGTTTGAAATCATCCAAATGATTTTAGTGAAGGTGCACTGCAAAAAACTAAATCTAGTCAAGTTAAGATGACTTGAATTAAGAAAGTTTGATCATGATTTGAGTCAATTTCACTTGACAAGTAAAATTATCTGCCAATAGAACAAGACTTTTTGTACTTAAAATATAAAAATTACATCTTGCTACACTTAAAATAAGAAAAACAACATCTTTTCTGCACTTAAAACAATGAAAACAACAATATTTTGCACTTAAAATCAGAAAAACTACATCTTTTCTGCACTTAAAATAATAAAAACAACAACTTTTTGCACTTAAAATAAGAAAAACAACAACTTTTCTGCACCTTAAATGAGAAACAAAATCGACTGTTGCTTGAATTAATAAAAACACAAATTGATTTTTTATTTTTTTTTTTCCAGTGTGTGTGGAGTTTAAAACACATTGGAGCACTTCCTTTATTACCACATGACATCACAAGGTGGAACAGAGTGTTTTCAGTTTGAGAGAAGAACTAACCCTAAATATGCAGGGTTTGTGTGTTAAACATGTGAACGAAACAAAACAACTCCAGGTCTGTTTGTGATGAGGAAACAACATTATAACAGTTCTGGAATCAGCACAATATGGATTTTAATTCAAGTGTAAATGTTCAAAACTAAATTATACGTTTAGTTATTGACAGTGTTGGGAAGGTGACTTTTAAAATGTAATCCCCTACAGATTACAGATTACATCCCTCAAAATGTAGTTTGTAACGTAATCCATTAAATTACTTAAAGTGAGTAATGTAATCTGAATACTTTGGATTACTTGATTTGCTGTAGAGAAGCAAAGACGAGGAAATCTTCAGATAAGATGTTTTATCTGCTAAAAGAAAATAAAAAGTCCAGACTTTACTTAACCAAATTAAAAATATTATTGATAGAAGATGAAGAGACACGGTCCACACAGCATGATTTAGTCCTGTTAAATCCTGTTTTAGTCCTGGTTTTAGTCCTGGTTTAGTCCTGGTTTAGTCTTGGTTTAGTCCTGGTTTTAGTCCTGGTTTAGTCTTGGTTTAGTCCTAGTTTAGTCCTGGATTTAGTCCTGGTTTAGTCCTGATTTAGTCCTGGTTTAGTCCTGGTTTAGTCCTGGTTTAGTCCTTGGTTTTAGTCCTGGTTTTAGTCCTGGTTTAGTCTGGTTTAGTCCTGGTTTAGTCCTGATTTAGTCCTGGTTTAGTCCTGGTTTAGTCCTGATTTAGTCCTGGTTTTAGCCCTGGTTTAGACCTGGTTTAGTCCTGGTTTTAGTCCTTGTTTTAGTCCTGGTTTAGCCCTGGTTTAGTCCTGGTTTAGTCCTGATTTAGTCCTGATTTAGTCCTGGTTTAGCCCTGGTTTAGTCCTGATTTAGTCCTTGTTTAGTCCTGATTTAGTCCTGGCTTTAGTCCTGGTTTAGTCCTGGTTTTGGTCCTGGTTTAGACCTGGTTTAGACCTGGTTTAGTCCTGGTTTAGTCCTGATTTAGTCCTGGTTTTAGTCCTGGTTTAGTCCTGGTTTAGTCCTGGTTTATTCCTGGTTTAGTCCTGGTTTAGTCCTGATTTAGTCCTTGTTTAGTCCTGATTTAGTCCTGGCTTTAGTCCTGGTTTAGTCCTGGTTTAGTCCTTGTTTTAGTCCTGGTTTAGTCCTGGTTTAGTCCTGGTTTAGTCCTGATTTAGTCCTGGTTTAGTCCTGGTTTAGTCCTGATTTAGTCCTGGTTTTAGCCCTGGTTTAGACCTGGTTTAGTCCTGGTTTAGCCCTGGTTTAGTCTTGATTTAGTCCTTGTTTAGTCCTGATTTAGTCCTGGTTTAGTGTCCGGCAATGAGTGGAATTACCAAAAAAAAAAAAAAAAAAAAAAAGGGAATAGCCCAAAACGTGAAAACAGGAAAATACCTCTGTGTAATCCATTTATTTCAACCAAGTAACTGTAACTGTAACTGTAACCGAATACAGTTACTCATAATTTGTACTCTGATTACGTACATGTAATCTGTTACTCCCCAACACTGCATTTCAGGCAAAAAGCAACGACTTCTCCATGGAAACAAACACACGACGAACCTCCACCTGAAAACCTACACAGTCCAGCTTCTCTTCACGATATCCCGGCCTCCCCCAAGTTGTTGATAATATAATAACTGAAGTGAGGAAATCACATTAATACATAAAAATAAGAGAACACTAAATCCATTCTGAAATCCATTATGTTTCCGTGTCCTCGGGCTAAGAAGCGGCTTATTAGAGCCCATTAGGACGAGTGGAGTCGGATGGAGGTGTATTAGCCACTGGATTAGTCAGACGCCACAGTGGGACCCTTCACACAAACAGAGAGGACGGGAACCAAGCAACAGCGTCTGACTCTGCATAACAACTACACGCGCAAGACCCAGGGATGAGATTAACATCGCGGTTTTCTTCTTTTTTGTCTTTCCAAACCAACACTAGGTACCTTTAAAAACAGAGAAATGTGTGTTTAACTCGAGTCACTATTTTTAGGACTTGAGATTTGATAAAAAATGGACGAAGACTTAGGACTCGACTCGGACTTGATGCTTTATTTCGCGTGTTAACTCCCCATTCGAACAGCAAGATGAATTGAAATCGAACTGAAATCGCAATTATTCAAGTCCTTTGCAAACAATAAAATATTCTAGTCGTATTATCTAAAAAAAAAAAAAGATTTGTACTAACATGTTCTTCTATTAGTTATGTAGTTTATAATTAAGGCTTCACTCTAATGCTGCACTGTGTAACTTTTCTGGTAGGGTAGGGGGTTCACCATAAACTTATTTCCATGGAGATATTATTGCGTTCCCTGAAAAATTTCCAAGTCTGGCATTAAACCAACCTCATCCACTGTGTTTATTCAATTACAGGGAACGATATCCAAGTCTCACGATACGATATCGTCACGGTACGATATTTATTGTGATATCGTGGGAAAGTTGACGATACGGTGGGGAGTCTCATGATTAGGGATGTAACAATATCCAAATCTCTCTGTACGATATTTATTGCGATATTTCATGGAGGCAAACAAAACTGTGAATGTGCGACTATTTCCTCTTAAAATGCCTTGACAAGACTTAATCTAAAGAACTAAGACTTAAAAGTGCTTAGAACTGAGACTTGATAAAATGGACTAAGGCTACGTTCAGACTGCAGGGCTTAACGCTCAATTCAGATTTTTTTGTGAAATCCGATGTTTTTGCGAGGTCGTTCACATTTCCAATTAAATGTGACTTGTATGTGACTCCAGTGTGAACATTAAATGGCCCAAAAGTGTCCCGCATGTGACGCTGGAGACACGACGACGTCAACCGCAGCGAGCGTCTCTCTGTGTTTACGGAAGTTGTCCAAACATGGACGAGAGCATTGAGCACCTGGAGATTTTTAAAGTTTCTCTCGTACCGGAGCCAGAACATGAACAACTTACTTGTTTTAAGGAGGAGATTGAGAAGGAGAAGGACGAGGTTTATGGTCGTGGTGTTTTGTGGGGCAGCGGCAGCGACGTCCGTTGAAAGGAACGTGTGGATGTGGAGACGTAGCCAAGAGTGGTGAGTGGTGATGTGCTTCACTTCAGTGACACGGAGTTCATTAACAATTTTCACCTACTTCAGCGCAGAATAGTGACGTTTGTGGCTTGTTGATAACGTGTAGGTGGATGAATGTGCTTTGACCGTTCACACTGAAGTCGCATGTCAAAAGATCAGATATGTATCGGTTTCAGGAGCAAATATCCAAGTGTCCTGGGTCACATTTGAAAAAATCAGATCTGTGTCGTTCAGACTGTCATTAAAAGATCAGATACAGGACACATAGGGGCCAAAAAAATCAGATTTGGGTCACTTCAGGCTGCAGTCTGAACGCAGCCTAAGACATGGGTCTCAACTTGGACTTGAAGGTCAGTGACTTGGGACTTGACTTCTAACAACTTCTAAAAACTTCTGCTTCTAAAAATATATGTTTTTAGAAAATACTTTTATCTTCACAGTTGATAAATGCAGTGTTTAATTTTACAGAAACAAACTAGAACATGTCACTCACACTTCTGTTTGTTACATTGGATGTAATTGAAGTACTGTGATGTGGTATCCTCAAATGTACTACAGTAATATACAGTACACTGCAGTAAAACAGAGGGAACTACATAGAACATGATCCTTCCATTTCAGATTTAACCCGGCTGGTGCCACCTAGTTCCTCCGCTCAATTTAATTTCTCTCCAGCGACTAGGTCAGGAGTCGTAATACACTAGATGGTTTGCAAAATCCTCGGAAGTGCGAGTTCAGGCACCAGCCAATCAGCGAAGAGTCATATATTCTGTCATGGCAATGATTCTCGAGGTTGAGGATTTAAAGCTGGAATAAAGAGAATGTTTGGTAAATTTCATCAAGGGGAAAGACGTTATTGACCTTCTTCCTACGGGATTTGGGAAAAGCTTAATATACCAGTTGTCCCCGTTAGTGGTGCATTACATACGTCATGACCAAATAGCAGCAGTTGGTTAAATGAAAAAAGTACCCACCTACCATCGAGCGAACGAATCCTAATGCTGCGCGGTCAGACGGTTTCTACGAAGTGAAACTGGCTCATGAAACAGACTAGTTCAGTGCAGACTACATGGCAAAATAACTGGATTTTTCTTTCTTTTTCTTCTGACCAATCTTGTTAAGACATTTAAAAAAGGAAAACTTGTCAACTCTTACATAAATACTCATATATAAATATACTATGATTTTTTAAAAGTACAATTTTGTTTAAAATTCATATAAATTATAAAAATCTAGGTACTTAGAAGTACCTAGATGCCTGCTGTGACTTGAAGCTCAAAGCAGATGACTTGAACTTGACTCGGACTTATGGGCCAGTGACTCAAGACTCAGCTTGGACTTTCCTGGCTTTGACTTGGGACTTGACTCGGACTTGCGGTCAAACACTTGAGACTTGCAAAACAACAGTGGAGCAGCCGCCATCTGCTTGTCAAGATGGAGATGTTACAGCTTAAATGTGTTGTCTTGTATTTGTTCAATTACAAGTGTTTTTATTGCTCAAAAATGCTTTAAAACTCAAGTATTCGTACTGTGAGAGGGGTTGCCTCTCCACAGATCTAGCGTAGTGCGTTGTCTTCCTACCGGTACCCGGGATAAAGTCCTGAGGAAGTCGGACTGCAGATGGCGCTGTCGTCCTGCCTCCACCGGTAGGAAGACAGCACAAAAACCTGTTTAAATCAGCTGAGCAACACGTCACAGCAACATCACGTGACACTGAGAAAGACCACAGCGAGCAGTCGAAACTGTCAGGTACGAAAACAAACTCTTGGTCTGAAAAAAGAACCTAATAAAATAAAATATTTAGTCGTTTTTACCTGCAAACTTTCTGGTGTAAACAGACCCTTAAACTATAACATCTCTATGGAGGCGAGCAGGTGGCAGATCTTCCAGCAGAAAAGTGACATAGTGCACCTTTAATCGATTTAATAACATTGAATGACCAGCAGAGGGGAGCAAAGAGCAGTTCTGCAAACATAATTCTTTCACTTCTATAACGATTTTACATTTTGATAAAATAAATTTGTATTTATTTACTACAAAATAACAGCAGTCTGGATTCTTATATTTTTAGATTTTAGATTTATATATACACATAAATGTCTATAATATAAAATAAATTAAATTAAATTAAAACATGTTATTATGTTGCATCCTAATCAAAAACAAGTCGAAGTATTTTTTTAGTTTCATTCACACGTGTTTCCGTAGCGCCATCTGCTGGTGTTTTGTATGTGCACATTTCATAATTCTGCAGACCTGAGTTGACCTTAGTCAGCTCTGTGTGCTAAGAAATTATAACACCCTGAATAACTTTAATTATGAGATACAGCCTAATAACTTAGTAAAAAGATGCTTTATTTCGCGTGTTAACTCCACATTCGGGCTGCAGGATTAATTGAAATTGAACTGAAATCACAATTATCAAATCTCACAGCAATTATTCAAGTCCTGTGCAAACAACAAAATATTCTAGTTGTATTATCTGAAAAAAAAACTCTCTTTTCTTTAGATCTCTACTAACATGTTCTTCTATTAGGTAAGTAGTTTATATTTAAGTCTTCTCTCTAATGCTGCACTGTGTAACTTTTCTGGTAGGAGATCCACCACAGATTTATTTCCATGGTGATATTATTGCGTTCCCTGAAAGATTTCCAAGTCTGGCATTAAACCAACCTCATCCACTGTGTTTATTCAATTACAAGGAACGATATCCAAGTCTCACGATACGATATCGTCTCGGTATGAACCTCACGATACGATATTTACTGTGATATCGTGGGAAAGCTCATGATATGGTGGGGAGGCTCATGATTAGAGATGCAACAATATCCAAATCTCTGTACAATATTTATTGTGATATTTTGTGGAGGTAAACCAAACTGTGAATATGTTGACTTTTTCCTCTTAAAATGCCTTGACAAGACTTAATCCAAAGAAGTAAGACTTAAAAGTGTTAGAACTGTTATTTCTTCTTGTCGTCTGCACTGAAATGGAGCAAAGGATCATGGTCTATGTAGTTCCCTCTGTCTTCTTTTTAGCTATTTCTGCACCATAACCAGTGTTGGGAAGGTGACTTTTAAAATGTATTTCCCTACAAATTACAGATTACACATCCCAAAATGTAGTTTGTAACATAATCCATTAAATTACTTAAAGTGAGTAATGTAATCTGAATACTTTGGATTACTTGATATTGTCTTGCTTTTTAAAACTACATGAATGTACCAACCACATCCTGAAAATGTATATTTGTTCTCTTCAAATTGTCTGTTGAGCCCAAGTCTCCATGAACAGGCAGGTGTTTACTGTAGAGAAACGAAGACTAGGAAATCTGAACATAAGATGTTTTGTTTTTTCTGCTAAAAGAAAATAAAAAGGCCAGTCTTTACTGACGCGTATTAAAAATATTATTGATAGAGAAATGATTTTTATATGAGATCACTGCTGCCTTAAATTATGTCCACCTACTGTTTGGTGTCAGATTGTTTATTACAAACAAACAAACAAACAAACAACACTTTCAGTACAAACATAAAGGCGCCAGACCAGTAAAAATCAGTAATATTGGATGTTTTTTTTACTCAAAATGATGCTTAATCAGATTATTAACAATGACGATTATTAACGACCTCGTCCATGGTGTGACTGACGCCACCAACGTTAACAAGACGTTTACATCGCTCTTATTGCACGCGTTTGGGTTTCCAGCAATGAGTGGAATTACCAAAATAAAATGTTAAAAAATGGGATATAGTCCAAAATGTGAAAACAGGAAAATACCTCCATATAATCCATTTATTTCGACGCCAGTAAATGTAATCTGTTACTCCCCAACACTGACCATAACTCTTAATTTAAGCAAAGCGACTTGTAATTCGATATATTGTGATGGTCCACGATATTATTGTGAGAACTCTGACGATACGATATCACGATATTTTGGTTATTGTTACATCCCTATTTTAGTTTTACTGCTCAAAAATATTGGTAAAAACTTGCATTCCTACAGCGAGTGAGCTCACCTCTCCACAGATCTGACCTGTAAGTTGGCCTAGAGCAGGGGTGTCAAACTCATTTTGGTCGGGGGCCGTATCCAACCTAATTTAATCCCAAGGGGCCAGATCAGAAAACTCATGTCATATACACCCCAAAAATAACAATAAGTTTAAATATTTGTGCAGAGAAACACAAATCTATTACAGAAATCTGTTTTAACTGATGAACTCTTTCTTTTACAAAATATTATAAAATTATGAACAACCTGAAACTTTAAGAAAAATGTAATTTCAACACATGTTTTCACATGAACTTGTATGTAAATAGGAATAAGTCAATTTTTGTTGTAAAATTCTGCACTCGGCTCCACTTTTCTCATTTTGGACATTTTTCTGATGAGGGTGTCACGGTCAACAGTCAAAACGATCGTCCTTTAAAAGCGTTTGGAAAGAGACAAGTCTTCATTTGTGCTGATCTGGTGGGAGGGGCCACGTACAGAGACGCTGGGGACGCTGCTGTGATAAATACCACAGAAAATTAACAATATTTTAATAGAAAATATAATAAAAATATTTTAGTAGAAAATCAGCTGGGGACCACATTAAAGGTCTTGGAGGGCCGCATCTGGCCCCCGGGCCGCATGTTTGACACCTGTGGCCTAGAGGCATTGCGGGATTGTCTCCATGGATATAGATGAGTTTAATGGCTTTATTAAACATTCTAGTCAAGGCAATAATATTTCCATGAAGACATTAAACGTAAATCGCAAATGTAATTCTAATCGCAAAATCCCAATTATTTATTTGAATGTGAGTTTGTTTTTTTCACTTACTTTGCAGCACTTCCACACGTACAGTCCTGTTCACAATCCCTCCATGCTGAAACTTCAGGAAGCACTCGTAGGCTCCGGCGTCCTCCTCTCGCCCCACGTTTCTGCCCAGAGACAAGTCGCCGGTGCTGGGGTTGAGTTTAGGCCTTGGTGCTCTCTCCGTATGCCTCTTCCAGCTCGGTTTGGTCTCCAGAGAAAGTGAGTGCAGACTTGATTTATTACGTTGGAGGTTTGGGGGGCAGAAGTTCCAGCCAACTTCGAGGACGCCCTTGGATTTGACTTCCTCCCAGGAATTGCTCGGAGAGAGGGAGCACGGGATGGAGAGAGGAGAAGAGGTGGAGGTGTACAGGGTCCGGACAAGAGCTGAAGGAAGCAAGTCTGTAAAACAAAATGAAACAAAAGTGTGAACAGGGTTAAATATGATGTTCTTTTAGTCCAAAATAGACTAAAATATCAGCATGTTTTTTTTTTTCATTTTGGATGGTTTTGTGAGCGGGCTTGCCTCTCCACAAACCTGACACCAGTTTGAAACCACAGAAATCTTGTTCCTGTGGATGTTTGAATTTGTTTGAGATATTTCGCCATCTCATTTTCGAGGGGGTCCTCATAATTACAACAACAAAAGACAGACACAGTAAGGCAGGCAGGAGGCTACATAAACTCAAATAAAAATCAAAACAACAAAATCAACACAACTCACTCACACTTGACTGTTAGACATAATAAATCTAATCTGAACAAAAACTAAGACAGAGTACAAATATAGTCACAACATACAACAAGATGAACAACAAAATTCAACAAAATGATAAAAAACAATGACACGGGTTTATTAATATTGAACCAGAGCATTTTTAAATGTGGCCACACTGTCTTTTCAAAGTCTGATCCCGTCAGATCTCAGAAGCTCAGCAGGACCGGGCCTGGTCTGTACTTGGATGGGAGACACTGGGAATTCCAGGTGCCACAGTGGGGCCAGTCACAAAAACTGCTGTTGTGTCCTTAGGCAAGACGCTTCACCCACATTGCCTAGTATGAAAGTGGTGTGTGTGTGTGTGTGTTGGTGGTCAGAGGGACCGATGGCGCCAGTCTGCCCCATGGCAGCTATGGCTACAATAGTAGTTTACCACCACCGGGTGTGGAGTGGATGAATAATGCTCTTAAAACATGTTTGTGAAAAGCGCTTTATAAATAAAAACTTACTTACTTAAATAAAGGGAAAGAAGTTAAAGCACAAATCGATGAGGGAAGATTGTTCCAATCAGAAGGAGCTTTAGAGGATCTGAGTGGAATTAAATACTGTTTGAGACATTCAGGATAACTGAGATTAATGCATGTAAAGATAAATAATAACCGTCTGTGAGCAGGACAGAGGGGGGTGAGTTCTGAAGGGACAACGGAGAATGAGTCTGCGCAGGCTGTTCTTGAGTGGTTGGAGGATAGAAGTTGTAGTATTTTGATAAATGATATATGATAAATAAGTTTTATGCCATGACAGCCATGGGCACAAAACGTATCTATCTCCATCGAGAAAGTGTTATTAAATATACTGTTATTTTGGTGGAATCATGCACATGGTTTTTCTTTAAATAGAGCCGCCCAGTTTGTTGATTCTGATTTGAGTCGTGATTTTGTTTAGTTTTACCTTTGAATGTTTTAGTTGTGATTTACACTTTATGTACGTGAGGTACACACCTGGAGTAGCTCAGTCTCAGTGCTGCTTATTCTTGGTTAATCAACATTTAGTCCTTGTTTGTTTTGTTCTAGTTTAGTTCTGATTTAGGACACACCAGCTCCACTGACTTGCACTTGTGTCAGCAAACCCCAGGGCAGAGCAGTTGTGTTTTTCAGATTCTTATTCCAGATTTTTATTGATTACATTATACTCTGTCATGAAATATTGAAAAAGGTGAATCCATGAATGTTGAGCCTGATTACTTCTATTTGTAACTTGTCTTTTGGTTTGTCCCTGGGTTTAGTCCTGGTTCAGTTCGTCCATTAAGATGAAAACATCAAACATGAACTCACCAATCACAGTCACTTTAACGTTCCCTTTTGTCTCTCTGTCCCCATCAGAGACGACGTAGGTCCACTGTCCGCTGTGTGCACCTGCCGCCTGGACCCTGACTCTGCCCCCGTCAGACTTCTGTCCTTGTGGATCGACCCAGTGGATTTGAGGAGAGGACAGTCCGTCTGAAACACTGCAGCTCAGAGACAACCACTCTCCTGGCAGCAGCACGGTTTTCTCCACATCCACTGGATAAAACAGAACAAAGAGTTAATCATCTCACATTTGAAAAATAAAAGTATGCAAGTAAAATAATATTGGTTTGCAGTGAATTAAAAAAAAAAACAAAACATGGTAGGTATATGATTTATACTTACCATAAATGTCATGTCTGTGTGTGTTTTAAGTTTTTAACTGCACATTAGAGTTCTGGGGAAATGTAATTTCTGTCTCCCTGGGCAATGTCTGTTACATGGTGGAATTGACAATAAAGTTCACTTTAACTTTAACTTTAACTTAAATAGAAAAGCACTGTGTAATGTTATAATGTAATGTTTTATTACTAACTGGAAAAAGAGGTAGATAATGTAAGACTGCTCTTCTTTCTGAGCGTTTTCCTTCCTTTTTTGTAAGTTTAACACTGTGGATAAATAAAAAATAAATACATTAATTAATTAATAAATGGTGAGTGCCCTTTAATGGTAACTCTGTGCAGGCGGCAGGTCATCCTCATGATTCCATGGAAAAAGTTAAAGCCACACTTCAGAACATTCTCCATGGAGACAGATATGTATGTGGCATGAAAACAAGCAGGTCAAATAAGAGTCACATATGTGGAGATGCAAGCCTGATCACAGTAAGGACACAATTTTAATTTTTTTTATTTTTTTGTCTAAAAAGTTACATATTGTGGCTTTAAGTGCCCTTCAAGGTCATATAAGACAGAGGTGTCAAACTCAAATTCACAGAGGCCAAAATTAAAAACTGGGACTAAGTTGTGGACCAAACTAAATATTTATTTAAACATTTCAACATCTGCATGGTTTCTCTTCTTTTGAGATCTGTAATGTTAAACCTCTTATTAAAATAAATGTTTAATAATAGTTTTGCTTAAACATTGAATCCAGAACAAGCAAAATATAAAATAATAACAACATTTTAAATAAATAATGTCTGTAGCCGGCGGGCAGCTCTAATACATATTTGATATGATCTCACAGGCCAAATATAATTATATCATGTACCAAATTTAGCCCCCAGGCCTGAGTTGGACATGTCTGGTGTAATGTGATTATGTAATGTTTTACTATTAACTGGAAAAAGAGGTAGATAACATAAGACTGTTCTTCTTTCTATGCATTTTCCTTCCTTTTTTTGTATGTTTAACACTGTTGATAAATAAATAAATAAATAAATAAATAAATAAATAATGGTAAGTGTCTGTTAATGTTACAGTATGTAACTCTGTGGAGGCGGCAGGTCATCCTCATGATTCCATGGAAAAAGTTAAAGCCACACTTCAGAACATTCTCCATGGAGACAGATATGTATGTGGCATGAAAACAAGCAGGTCAAATAAGAGTCACGTTTGTGGAGATGCAAGCCTGCTCACAGTAAGGAGACATTGTTGTTGTTGTTGTTGTTTTCATTTCTTACATTTTTTTCCCAATTTTTTTCAAAATTTTTTCCATTTTTTTTTTCATCCAAAATGGAAAACTACCAAAAAACATGCCTGTCCTTTAGTTTTTTTTTGTTTGTTTTTTTTTAAGTTCCATATTGTGGCTCTAAGTGTCCTACAAGGTCATATAAAACGGTGACATGTTTTGTTTTCAGTGTTTGTCTCTCACCGTTGAGTTGAAACAGTCTAAAAGTCTCCGTGCCCACTTCTTTGAGTTTGTCCTTGACGGTGCAGGTGAAGACGCCAAAGTCTCTCTGAGTCACGTTCTTTATGACCAGCCCATTGGAGGACAAGCTCAAACGACCAGTCCAGTCTGTAAACAAAATAAAATACAAAATGTTTACAAAGCCAGAATTAGAATTAAACATAGAATCAACAATTTATCATGAAGTTACATCTGTGTTTTTTACCTGGGGCTATATTTCTCCCTCCATTCGGATTAGACCAAGCCACGTCTTTACCACCGATGGACCAAAAAAAATACTTGTCTGGTTCATGACGCGAGTTTATCTGAACATTATCTCCAAGTCGAGCATAAACGCGCTCCTGTGCCACTGAAAAACAAATCATTTTAATCCACATAAAAAGTTGACAGGCCGTGTTTAAAATAAATAAATAATGATGTAAGATTTGCGCAATTATAATAACTGTGCCATGTTTTTTTTTTTGTTTGTTTGTTTGTTTGTTTTCCCTGAAATATTTTACAGTATGGCATTTACTTTAACTATCTCCATGGAGACGAAGACCAAACCAAAGTTACAGGTCAGATCTGTGGAGACATAGACCCACTCACAGAAATGAAGCGGGTTTTTGTCTGTAATTTTGAGAAATAAAAACACCAGTAAGACAGATTTGTTTAACGCCATACTGTGGAACATCCAAGGCAAAGCAATAACGTCACCATGGAGGCAAGAAGATGGCAGAAAAGTTACACAATGCACCTTTAAATCAGATATCATAGCTTTAAAACAATAGTATTTACGATCTAACATATCTAATGCCGTTTTCTTACCTGCAGCGTGAAGACCCAGAAAGCAAAACAGGAAAAATAGTTGAAAGTAACTCATCTCGACCTGAAATGAACAGAAAAATATAAAGCATACTTCATTTTTTGCTGATAAAAGGCAAATAAAAACAGCTGATTTAACAAGAATAGTATTTGTTTGGGTATTTAAGCATATGGGCTGCAAGTTCAGGAAGGGCATCTGGAATAAAAATCTGCAAAATCTCCACGTGACCCGTCTGTGTAATAAAATGTAACATCTTGAACTAAAACCCAATGTCTAATGTTGTACTTTATGAAGTTTTGTTGCCATTCTGATGAATTTGCGAGCAATATATAAACAAATAAATAATAAAAATCAAGTACACATTTACTTCTGTTGCTTCTAAAATGGTCACAGCCTCTGGGACAACAGACAAATCACTTTTAAAAATAAAAAAAAAACAATCGCTGTGCCTGCTTACAATAAGAACTCAAGACTTTTCATCCCCAAAATTGGACCACATATTATCACTGGGTTATTTATCAGCTAAATGTATTATTATGATGAATTGGAAGGAATGTAAACATAAATGCTTCGACGTAGACAGTTGGTATAAAGACTTTTTGGATTTAATTTCTAAGGAGCAGGCTGCTCAGCTGTTGGACACAAAAAACAAACACACTGTTGGTCCATGGACTGTGGCAAAAGCGCAGTAAAACAAAGCTGTTGGACATTGTCAAAATGTATGTGTATGTGTATGTTTGTATAATGTGTTGTATGTGTAAGTGCGTTTTGGGGTTGCCAAAAACAAACAAAGAAACAAACAAAAGATATAAAGGAACAGAAAATATTGAAATGCAAATTTGTTTTGACAGCCCTAAAATGTAAATACACACAGGCAAACACTGCACTGAGAAACTATATATTACACAAACAATAAATAAATGAATAAATAAAAACAAAAACAATATCTGTTTGGTTTAATCATAACAGTTGCAACATCAAATTGTGACGAAAAAAGTCACTTCTTACTACTTAAGTTCTCTTCTAGATCAGCGTTGTTTTCTCTTGTATAAATAAAAATAGAAATAGCTGCTTAAAGAGCCACGAAACACTTTTTTTTAAAATTTTTTACTGATTTTACTGTTTAGCTGTGATTAACTTCTAAAATAGAAGTGCATACGTATCCCTGGTCTTGTTTTGGCATTTTAGTGTGTATTTGTTAAAAGTCTGATTTTGGGCTCAAAAGTCGTGTCTGTACAGGATCGACTAAACACAAAAACTTTAGTACATGACACATAACATCATTTTAATAATAAAACCATGATACAAAATGTCAGTATTACTCCATGCTTTATACCAGACATGTCAAACTCAGGCCCGGGGACCAAATTTGGCCCATGATATAATTATATTTGGCCTTCGAGATCATACCACATATGTATTAGAGCTGCGCCGCCGACTACAGACTTTAGAGACATAATTTATTTAAAATGTTGGCATTATTTTATGTTATGCTTGTTCTGGATTCAATGTTTGAGCAAAACTATTATTAAACATTAAATTTAATAAGAAAATGTATAACATTACATATCTCAAAAGAAGAGAAAACATGCAGATGTTATTGAAATTTTTCAATAAATATTTAGTTTGGCCCATGACTTAGTCCCAGTTTTTCATTTTGGCCTCTGTGTATTTGAGTTTTACACTCCTGAATTATAAAATAGTTTCAAAATTATGAAAAATTAGGACAGCTAGAAAAGTTTGGACACACTTCTCACTCAGTGTTATTAGTTTATTTTTACCACATTCTACATTTTTTACACACAGAACACGTCAAATGTGACGTAAGATAAATTAAATTATGTAGTAAAGGGGGGAAAAAAAGTGAAATAACTTTACTAAACATTTTTCGACATTGCAAACGGTGTCTAATTTGAGAATTTTAATATAAATGATTAAAAAAAAACATATTTAGTAGAGTTATTTACCTCTTTTTTCTTTACTACGTTAATTCCTTTTATCTTACTGCAGATATTTGACGTTTTCTGTGTGTGTATAAAACGTAAAAAGTGGTAAAAAATAACGAAAAAACACTGAATGAGAAGCATATTTAAACTTTTGACTGGTAGCTGTCCTACTTTTTCATAATTTTGAAACAAGATGACGACATTTTGTATCACGGTTATATTATTAAAACGACTGAGAGTTTAAAAATGTTATGTTACGTCTTCTGTGTGTGTATAAAATGTAAAAGAGTCGTCAAAAAATGAGATGTAGTGTCCAACTTTTGACTATTGGAGAAGGAATTAACAGTAAAATGGACAATATATTCAACAAATGTGATCATATTTTCAGGATTTTTGGTGAAAACAAAAGTCGTGAAAGTGTTATGAGAGGAAATCAAGATCCAGCGTGTTATAAAATGATAAATCCAGCCTCGCCTTTGTCGCCGTTTACTGTGCGCGGTTAGACTTCTCAGTACAGTAGTCTAAAAGGGGCTCCCGGCGCAGTGCAGGAAGCCGTCGTTGGTTTGTGGTGGTCTTAGATTGAGAGAGATTTGAGCAGATAAAAGAAGAGAAAGACGAGCGGAGGCGTAGTGTGGTGGGCTACACGCGAAGAACAGGGATCACACACACAAACACACAAACACAAACACGGGCCCAGATTTGAGGTGCAGATTTGAATCCCGCTCCTCCTCCTCCTCCTCTTTGCCCTCTCTGCCCCCTTCTTCCTCTGTTCCACGAAACACAGAGCGAAGAGGAGAGGGGAAGAAGAAAGGAGCAGACCACAGCGCAGCGGCAGACGCACTGTGGTTTAAGAGACATGGAGCTCCGAGTTCAAATCCGTGTCTACCACAAGTCAACAAAGAAATATTTGATGTCACTCTGAAGTAGAATCTGTGCTTTTTTTTTTTTTTTTTTTGCGATTTGTGTAAAAAAAAAAAAAAAAAAAAACCTGGAGATGTTTTGAGATTATGAAGCTGGGCCTTGAATCTTCCAGAGTTTTATTTAAAATGGTTTATCTCCATGGATACAAGAAGGGGAGAGCGTAAGGGCAAAGTTGTAGGTGCAAAAATATCATCAAAACTGGATATTTAATGTACTGTTTTTTTGTTTATTGTTTTGGTATCGGTGTAAACTCAGGAGTCTCTAACCTTTTTCCTCACTCTGTCACTCTGAAGTAAAATCTGTGCTTTTTTTTTTTTTTTTGCGATTTGTGTAAAAAAAAAAAAAAAAAAAAAAACCTGGATATGTTTTGAGATTAAGATGTTGAATCTTCCAGAGTATGGCATTAAAATGGTTTATCTCCATGGATACAAGAAGGGGAGAGCGTAAGGGCAAAGTTGTAGGTACAAAAATGTCATCAAAACTGGATATTTAATGTACTGGGTTTTGTTTTGTTTTTTGTTTATTGGGTAACACTTTACAATAACTACACCTTACTTAGCCTTAATAAAGCATGAACAAAGACTTAATTAATAATGAACAAAGATTTAATTAATAATGATTCACGCTTAGTAAATGCTTAATAAAGCATAATTCATCTTCACTTTAGAAAAGCTCTCAAAAAGATTTAACTAACAGATAACAGCTGCCTGAATTATCATTGCATTGCATTATTAGTAAATCATTCTCTCATAGTTTACTAATGATTAATAAATGATCAAATGGTTAGTTCATGAGTAATTAAGTATGAAATAATTATGAGTAACTATTTACAGCACAGGCAAATTAAGTTGCAAGTGCTAATTAAGGTAGTAATTAAGTAGTTACTAAGCGTGAATCATTATTAATTAAGTCTTTGTTCATTATTAATTAAGCCTTAGTTCATGCTTTATTATAAAGTATTATATTATATAGTTATTATAAAGTGTTACCATTTATTGTTTTGGTATTGGTGTATATTCAAGAGTCTTTAACCTTTTTCCTCCAGTGAGCAGCTTTACAAAACAAAAAAATACCAAAGAGCTACTCATGTTAGCGGTCACAAGATTATAAAAGTGTAAAAATGCATGGCGCACTCAGATGGCCGATGTCCAAAAGCTTTTTATTCATTTTTCAGTAACGTTTTGGCAAAAAATACTTTCGTCAGATCATTTTTCTTGCTCTAGAACACAGTCTACACGAATCTGACTGTCAGACTCCTACAAACATAAACCATTATCTGTTTTTAGTGCGCAAAGTTACGCATCAAAATAGTAAATTCACAACGGTAATAGGTATTTTTTACATGCTCACAAACAGTCGGAAACACGACCACATCACCCCTGTCCTGTAACTCCTCGCACTGGCTCCCTGTCCAGTTCAGAATTCATTTTAACCCTTACATACTGTTCATTTTTTTAGCTTTCGCAGTGTGGTCCTGGTCAAATTTGACCTGGACCAAGAATTCCCTTATAGTAAGTGTCTATACCAAATAAATAGACTGTCCCACACGAATAAATATATGTACTGTATAAATATAATGTTTGAGAGAGCACGAAGAGCCTATTTTTATAACGTTTTACAACACTTGTTTATGGAGAAAAAAATCTGCTATCACACAGTATCATGTCCTGTTTAACAAAACACTTAAAAATATAAAAGCCAATATGATTTTTATATATATTATTGCATTTGAAACTGACATGAATATTCTGTAAGAGTTGGAATTTATAATATAACTAGTTTTATCCACTGTGGCCCTTATGCTTATTTCAAACTAGTCAGTGCATTCAAAGCAGTGTTATGTAAAAGTATAACATTTTTAAATATTTTTGTGTATTTTGGCAAAAATTTGGGAAAAGTCATCGAATTTCAGGATCAAAGAATGACGCTTAGTGTATTTTTACTACTGCTCAATGTCAAAACGGGTCAAATTTAACCCGAAGAGTATGTAAGGGTTAAAATTTTGATATTTTAATGCAGTCAGTGGTCTTGCACCTTCCTATACCTTGTGTGAGATTTTGACCCCCTCACCAACCCAGCAGAGCTCTACGATCTGCTGGGCAACATCTGCTGGAGGTCCCCCCGGTCCCGGTGCAAACAGTGGGGTGATCAAACTCTGGAACTCTTTGCCCATTGAGTTACGGTCCATCCCTGACCTGCCTTTGTTCAAAACCAAACTTAAAACCTGCTTATTTAGAACGTCTTTTAACACTTTGTGGCCCTGTGAAACTTTCTTTATTTTAGTGGTGTAATGTGCTTTGTTGCTTTTGTTTGTGTGATGTTTATTGTTTTTTTTATCGTGTTTTAATGTTGTACAGCACTTTGGTCGGCTTTGGTCATCGGAAGGTGCAATAGAAATAAAGTCTGATTGATTGTATTTAATTCTACAAATATTAGTTCTTCTTCAGCACAATAAGTATGATTCATAAATCCGTTGTCGAGCTGCTTGGAGACGTCTTCATGCATCCAAACAAACATGCACCACAAATGTTTACAAAGGGGTTTGGCTGAAGCTCTAGTAACTTTTGCTTCTGTCGACTTCCTTTGAGTTAGAGTTCAGCAGGCAGCGCCCACCCCCGGTCCGTTTATGAACAAAATTAATATTAAAAGATTGAAAACGTGCTCAGGCGTAATCAGCTATGGGGTAACTATCATTTTATTTAGAATCTGTTTATGAAACTTTATAAACCTCAAAGTTATTTCAACATTTCACAGAGTCTTGTGTTTTAAATGTGTTTTTTTGGACTTTAAAACAACCACATTATGGACATTATTTAGCATGTGGTTGATTATCCTCTGCAATTTCTTAATGAACTCTTAATATTTGAATTTTTAGAAAAGTCTATGGAAATAATGAATGTAAAATTTACTTCCAGAACCGGAGCACTTTTTATTATTTTCAAAGCGCTTTCATCGTCTTACACTGCGTGACAAATCGCTCAAATAAAAATACTTGAAATTAAATGAAAGTGGTACGTGACTTTCCACATTCAGTTTGTGATCTATAAAATATAAAAAGATAAAAGGATAACTAAGACATGAAAATGAGTGACCCGCTCTAAAAAGTCTTTGGAGCTGTTCAGAGACGAGACAGAAGCAGATCTGTGCACAGACGAGAAGTGAACATAAGTGAACAAGTTGGAGAAAGTTTGAGAAAGTTTGTAGAAGTTTGTGGAAGTTTAAGAAAGTTTGTGGAAGCTTAAGAAAGTTTGTGAAAGTTTGTGAAATGTTTGTGAAAGTTTTAGAAAGTTTGTGGAAAGTTTGAGAAAGTTTGTGAACGTTTGTGAAATTTTTAGAAAGTTTGAGAAAGTTTTAGAAAGTTTGTCAAAGTTTGTCAAAGTTTGTCAAAGTTTGTGAAAGTTTGAAAGTTTGAGAAAGTTTGAGAAAGTTTGAGGAAGTTTGTAGAAGTTTGTGGAAGTTTGCACAGTTTCCGTACGTACACATTTAGTTAGAATTCCACGTGAGGTTTTACAAATGAGCCCACGTCTCAACAACTCAGCAAGTTTTTTACCAGGTATTTTTGAGCAATAAAACCACTTGTAACTGAATAAATACAAGATAAATAAGCTGAACGCCAAACATGGAACGTTTCAGGTAAATAAATACAATCTTTATGGTGAAGAATGGTGTTGCACCTTAACTGATAAGTTCCTTAGTGCAGCTTTAATATCACAGTCAATAATCGGCCTGTACCATGTAGATGTTGTAGCTGATTCAGAGCATAAACCATTAAACATAGAGTTAATTCAGTTCATTTGAGACTAAATGTCTTTCTGTGTCTTTGATTTTCTTTTGTTCAACCAGTTTAGTGATCTATAGATGAACACCGCCTTTGTTCATCTAGTACTTTGTTTTTTTTAGAGTCTACATTTCATGAACGACGATGAATTTAAGAAAAAATACACATACACTCATTTATTATGTCTATATTAATCCCTCAGAAAACACAATTTAGATTTTTGACAGCAGAAAAAACGTATATTTTTAAAAATTGATTCGCCATTTTAATGATTTCAGTTCAACCTACGCACAGAAACATTTACAGTCTGATAATATTACAGTATTAAACGATAATGCTGCAGAGTATTTGGTACCAGACTCACCTCCTCCGGCCCTGATCTTCCGATGTTCTGATGTTCTGATCCTCTGATGTTCTTTGTGTTTCAGGTGAAGACTGGTGTCGACTCTGACGCACCGCCCTGTGTCACTGGTCTGAAAAACACCACAGGAGACAGGGACTTATGTCGTGTAAATAAATCAAGGGGCGTGGACACTCTACAGCCAATGCAGTATAAAGAAGAAAAGTTCATATACATATAGTTAAGAAGGCGAATTTTATGCAAGTTCAGATTTCCAAATAGTCACACTCATACAAAGCATTGCTCATTTTTCCACTGGACACTCAAAAATATCTGTTTGCGGTGGATTCATGCTCGTAATTTAAATGTTTTAGTAACTATCAGTGTTAAAGTTTTGTCTTTTCTTTAACTTCTTGCATGTTTAACTTCATGACACATCAGTATTTTATGAATGAAATCAAATAAATAAATAAATACATTAAGAACCTTCATCCGTTCTTACTTTTTTTAGTAAACATAAAGGCAAAGAGTGAAGCGTCTTGCCCAAGAACACAACTCCAGAATGAATTTATAATGTAAATTAAAGATAAAGGCACAGACGCACAGATTGGAGAAAGTGAAAAAGTAAAATAGATTAAATCAGACTAGATATTTAATTGTGCGTTCAAAGATTTCAATTTTCTATTATTTCCATCAATAGCGCGGCGTCTATAGATGAACAAACTAGTGTTAGAAACGGATTAGATTTAACGTAGGACTTATTTCCATCTGAAAAGTCCAGAAAAATCACAATTTGAGCTGAAGTATATGTAAATCTGTCATTTTGATGCCTATTTCTGTGCACTAATAACTGGATAATGGTTTAGTTGTAAGTTTTATAGGCGTCTAAAACTCGCCGTGGCTCTGATATTTTCGTTTTGTTAAAGAAGCTTTGTGAAGGAAAAAGGCTGGAGACTCCTGGTTTATGATGTCGTTTACTTTGCTGCGTTTTCGTGCTGTAGCTGAACACCTGTTTTTGAGCATCTGTTTATGTTTTAACCTCATTCAGCGAAGTGCAGCATTGTTGCATTTACGAGGCTTTATTTTAGGGAACAAACCGCTCCAAAAAATGAAAATAAATCAAATAAAGTAAAGCAAATGACCTTATCCAGATCTATAAATGTGACACAGGTCGTTGTAATAGTCTAAATAAAAGACACTGCACTGCAAAAATGAATGCGAATTAGTTAAAATAATTCTGTTTTACTAGATTTATTTATTTTGATTATTTTTTACAACGATACAGTTATATTTTTTGCAGAAGGAGGCACGCTGGGTTTGACTCCCGAGCGGCGAGGGATGTTTCTTTGCAGAGTTTGCATGTTCTCCGTGTGTCCGTTTGCCACCATCGACCCAAAACACAACGCAAAGGAACAAAACACAACCCAAAATACAGCAGGTCAAATGATCTAATTAAGTTTTGATCAGTCCTGGCTCAAGATCTGCAGTTTGTTCCACTGCCACAGCATCATAGCGCTCTCTGCTCCTGACAGGTTACCCCAGCGTTACTGAAGGATGGGTCAAATGCACAAGACACATTTCCCCACAGGGTTAAAGAAAGTGTTCTGTGACCTGATGAAGATTTGTCCTTGAACGGAAAGCATCGGTATTTGAATAAAATTTCTATATCCTAATCAGATTGCTTCAGATAAGTATTTTTCTTGATCTTAAATTGTGTCTGTGTAGTTTTGGCGTCACTTAAATGAATTAAAAGATGGGTTAAGGTTTACGTTACACTGACTTTTGTCGTAATTAATGTATTTTCATGCTCTGTCCCTGTAGAAATAAAAACATGTTATACTATATACCAGAGGTGGAGGCCTGCAAGTAATGACTTGGACTCGAGTCAGACTTGAGTCATTATTTTTAGGACTTGAAACTTGACTTGATAAAATGGACTAAGACTTGGGACTCGACTTGGACTTGAGGCCTGTGACTTGAGAAGCACTTCTAAATCTGAATTCCTTTTATTCTAACTGTAATGATTCACTTTAAGATCTTGTTAAGACATTTAAAAAGGAAAAATTAACTTATCTACAACTCTTATAAACTCTATAAATACTCATATATAATATATAATATATATAAATATACTATGATTTTTTTAAGAACAATTTAGTTTAAAAATCATATAAAATTGCAAAAAAATCTAAGCTATATTTGGTATTTTGGTTTAAAAAACTTGAAATGATTGAAGCTCAAAGCAGACGACTTGGACTTGACTTGGACTTATGGGCCAGTGACTCGAGACTCGACTTGGACTTGCCTGTATTTGACTTGGGACTCGACTTAGACTTGAGGCCTGTGACTTGAGAAGCACTTTTAAATCTGAATTCCTTTTATTCTAACTGTAATGATTCACTTTAAGATCTTGTTAAGACATTTAAAAAAGGAAAAATTTACTTTTCTACAACTCTTATAAACTCTATAAATACTCATATATAAATATACTATGATTTTTTTAAGAACAATTTAGTTTAAAAAATCATATAAATTGCAAAAAACTAAGATATATTTGGTACTACTTTGGTTTAAAGACTTGAAATGACTTGAAGCTCAAAACAGACGACTTGGACTTGACTTGGACTTGACTTGGACTTATGGACCAGTGACTCGAGACTCGACTTGGACTTGCCTGTATTTGACTTGGGACTTGACTCGGACTTGAGGTCAAAGACTTGAGACTTGCAAAACAAGGACTTGGTCCCACCTCTGTTATAAACCGCACTACATCATAAAACGCAACGTCTATCAGCCCTTTTCTCTTGAGTAGTAGATTTTGCTGTAGGTTTACACAGTTACAATAAAAAATATGATTCACCATTATACTAACAATACCAGATATGGAAAGGTAAGATACATTTTCTTGAATCTGTGTCTGTGCTGATCTGTATCTTAAAAAGCACCTGGTTTCTCCACATCTGAGCTCAGTGAACAGCTTCTGTACTGTCACCTTGTTTGGCCAGTGGAATATAAAACCAACAACACAGCTCTTATACTGTAAAAAATACTCCCAGGGCAGAAAATGTAGGTGGAAATGTAAAAACTGTAGCCTATTACTTTACTGAACTGGAAATAAGTGGTAAAAAATCAAGACCTTCAAACATACACTTCAAAAGTTTGGATGGACTTTTTCATTTTCGTCTTTATTTTCGTGATTATTTACATTGTAGATTCTCACTGAAGACATCACATCTATGGACAAATATGGAACGTGGTAAACAAAAAAAATGCAACCAACCCATATGGAAAAAAACTGGAAAAAAAATATAAGAATTTACCAGTGTCTTTGTAGTAAATCTTTCTAGAAGGTTTATATGTGTCATGTGTGGTTTACTCCTGAAAGTGTTTCCCCTTTTGCATTTTTCTCATACAAATATATTATGAAAAACTAGTAAAGATAAAGTGAACATTTTGCATGACTTTTACAGGTAATGTGCATGATCAACTACATTTTCTTTGTATGTTCCATGTAATGTTTGTATTCTTTATTTATATGTTGCAGTTAAAAAAACAAAACAAAATCTGAGTGTGAAGGGGGATTTGAACCCAGCTTGTCCATGTGATAGTCTAGTGCACAGGTGTCAAACATACGGCCCAGGGGCCAGATCAGGCCCTCCAAGACCTTTAATCTGGGCTTTTCTTTTAATTCTATTTTTTATTAAAATCTTGTTAATTTTCTGTGGTGTTTATCATAGTAGAGTCTCCAGCGTCTCTGTACGTGGCCCCTCCCACCAGAGCAGCACAAATGAAGACTTGTCTCTTTCCAAACGCTCTTAAAGGACGATCGTTTTGACTGTTGACCGTGACACCCTCATCAGAAAAATGTCAAAAATGAGAAAAGTGAAGCAGAGTGCAGGATTTTCCAAGAAAAAATGACTTTTACTCCCTATTTAACAAGTTCATGTTAAAACTTTGTGTTGAAATTGTATTTTTCTTAAAGTTTCAGGTTGTTCATTATATTATAATATTTTGTAAAAGAAAGAGTTCATCAATTAAAAAAGATTTCTGTAATAGATTTGTGTTTCTCTGCACAAATATTTGAACTTATTGTTATTTTTGGGGTTTATATGACATGAGTTTTCTGATCCAGACACTTTGGGATCAAAGTCGGTTGGATACGGCCCCCGGACCAAAATGAGTTTGACACCCCTGGTCTAGTGACTCACCTGTGAAACTACCCAGCCAGTACTAATGGTAAGAATGATAGCAGATGTTGAGGACAGTTACTAGTACCGCGGTGTCCCACAAGTAAATGGCTCTTTGAAGAGGCAACGAGGAAAGAGGCTACAGGATTTTGCAGAGTAAAAATCTTTTTACAGCCTGATGTATGTTCCCTGTGATATCAGTGGAAGAGTGTGTGTCTTATGTTTTTTAAGGTTGTAATGCAAGATTTGGATTACTGTGTTTACCCCCATGCTGCCCAACACACACACACACACACACACACAAAGACACACACACACACACACAAAGACACACACACACACACACACACACACACACAGTGATCATTTTCTTTCTCACTCTCATACACACACAACACAGCAATCGAGTTTAAGGAAACAAACATCATTTCACTTGTTTTTCTATGATTCTGTGGTAAAAATGACCTTTGTCCAACACTTGTGAGGAGATTATATGTTGGATTAGTGTCATGTTCAGCTCTTACAGGTTACAGAGTTTTATATGTTTCATGCTGCACATATTTACCAAAGATCTTGTAACTGTTTTCACTGTCATATACAAATCTTTTAGGATTCAGATAAAACATTAAAATGGTGTATGATTTGTCTATACGTTTTCCATGTGGGAAGATAACTCTAAACTTGTATTAGATTTTATTTTATATTTATTAAAAAAATAGCCACAGTTTGCTCTGATCGCTGGTTTGCACTTTCGCCGTTTCATGACATTTATTATTATTTTATTTATTGATGCTTTCAGTTTCCTCATGGCTGAAACATAATTCCGCAGATTATTTTTTTTAAGTGAAATGTTTTGCATTGCTATGTAAAAATGTAAAGCACTTTGGAAACTGTCTTGTTTATAAAATGTGCTATACAAATAAAGCTGGACTGGATTGACCTGGCA